ACATATGTTAATATACGACTTTGACCATTAAAAGGTTTATATAATGAAACTATACATATGACAACATATGTTTCTTATAGACTAATAAAAAGTATAATCAAAATAAGCATATGAATAATACAAAGTCAAATTGTTGTGATTATTATAAAATGGAGGTAATAAGGTGTATAATTTGATATGATTTAAATCTTAATGGTTTGGTCTAATATGATTTGATGTAATGATTTTATTGAACTTTTATCTTATAAATTAATGAAAATCTTGTAAGATTGATCCATCTATGAAATAAGTTAAAGGTAACATGTCCTAACTTAAATCATTCAAATGTTATCAAAAATTTATAGTCAATAAGTTCTTTCATATAGTAAATAAAATCAAACGCTTAATCAATTACTCTATATATGAAAAGTGGATTTATAATTTCTCACCATCAATGGGTTTTTGATTGTGACATTGTTAGAGTTAAGGGTTTAGGATTTAGTAAGGGGTTAACCATACATGTATAATTTAACAAAGAAATTATTCTCACACTTGTATTGACTATAGAGTTTGATATTTATAAGCGTCGATACTTGCGAGTTGCGACATTACAGTTGTATCGCACTACTGCTTGTACATAAAGTTTGATGCATATGAAGTAACTGAGTAAATAAAAATTTGTGATTTATCAAACTGCGTTACCCAAGTCAAAAACAACATAGAGATTCTGCAATTTTTGTTAGTATAGAGAAAACATTGTTACCCCCACACCATGTCGGCAGCAATGAAAAAACTGTATTGGAGGCTTTGGAGCACAATTTTTTTTTTTTAACTTATAATTATTTACTCCAATACTTCACTCTATCTCTTTAAAAAAAAAATACTTCACTCTATCTCTTTAAAAAAAAAAATACTTCACTCTATCAAATTCGAGGGCAGACACAAAAGTCGTTGGATCTCATCACATTTTCAAGACATCCCATCCACCTAAACGGCTAAACTCGGGTTGAAGTGAATGCTTAAATGGTGACACAAAATGATTTTATGTCAATACTTTGCTTGAACACAATTCATTAGCTAGACAACCTCACATCAAGCCACAAATAAAGACTAATGACACCTAATTAACCCAATAACTAGCTTAGACCCCGTACCATGTATGGTAAGTGTAATTCTTTTTTTAAAAAAATATTATGTCTAACAAATAAAACTGATGCTTCAAAGTAATTTCTTTAATATCAATAATATGAATCAATTTTATTACGGAGTATTCTTTTTATAGCAAAATCTAATGATACTCCTTCTATCAATTAATTAAACAGGAGTTAGATTAATTTTTAGGGAAAAATTATAAGCACAAAATAAAAAGGAATAAAATAATATAAAATATTTGAAATGATATTATTATAATTGTATCAAATATTCAACAACAAAAAAATGGTTAAAAAAGAAAGGAGAATTTTGGAGGGAAAAAGTAGCACCAAGATGGCAGGATGTAACATGTGTCATTTTCGATATCTGTTTTAGTATTAAGTTATTGTTTGATTATAGTTACAATAATGATTAAAAACAACTTTTACAAGACCATAAGTCAAAAGAAGTATGACGCACAACTTTTTCCTCTTAATTTCTAAGACAAGATTTATTCAAAAGATCTTTAACCAGATATTCATTCATAATTCTATTCCATATTCATCATCAATTAAAAATACCACACCTTTATTTTTAAGATGACTTCATCATTAGAAATGGTACCAAAATCCACAGATATGAATCATGACAATACTACTAAAACAAATCCAATTGCAGTACTGCTGACACAAAATAACTGCAACCTTGCTACACCCGCAATCCCCTTCTTTTTCTGTACAAGTTCACACTAATAATTCATATAAAACCCTAATCCCAAATATATACCAATATTTAAGTATACATTTTTCATTGTTGATTTGATCTGATATATTTGGGCGAGTCTTCAGCCTTTTTCTTGATGAATTCTGGATAACAACACCCTTTTTCGGCTTTGCCTGTTTGATGAAATGCTAGACTGAATAATACAAACTAATGAGATAACATATGAATATATCCGTTAATTTCACTACAAAGAGAGAAATGTGAGGACAAGAGAAAAAAGTGCACAAACAAGGGGTAATAATAATGTGGGTTGTAATAAAGGTGAGTTTCCCATTGCTAAGCCAGCTAACCATGACCCATCTGCTAGCATAGCTGAGGTTGTAGTACCGGTTCCAGTTCCGGGTCCAGTAACCATTCCAGGTATAGCATCGGAAGCTGATCCATATGCCATGTCTCCTCCTGCGGGTTCAGTTGGTGTTGAGACCATTGGATCCGACCCGGGAAAAACTGGAGGTGTCGTCGTCATTGGAGTTGGGTTCATTGGAGTAGGGTTCATTTGAGTAGGAGTAACTGGAGTAGGAGCTGTTTCTCTTGCTGATTTTTGACTGTTGACGAATACAAACACCAAATTCAATTACAAATTGCATTGATTGAATGTTGTCAGAAATTAAACAATTTTGTAGGGAAGGGTTTTAGTCATGTCTGTTAGCCTGTAACAGAAAATAGCTAATACAAGTAGAGTATAAATTAATGACCCACATCCGACCCAAACCCAGCACAAATCACTGGAAAGAAACCTGAATCCAGCAAGACAATAATAATACTTCGTATTGTTTTGATACGACAACAAGACCCGAACCCAAAACACTTATGTTCAAACACGGATTCAACCCATTTGTCCTATCGTTAATTATTTTACTTCATACAATTATTGGTGAGTGCATCATTTTGTGCCAACTTTAGACTTACAAGCACGTATAGGGTAGTCATCTTATAATACGGAGTACTTGACTTTGCAACAACTTGACTACGAGTACGGAGTATTACACTATTTCTAAGTTCAAAATAACTAAATTTTCATACACTATAATTCGTATTTGTACTTCATGCGGAATATTGTATGATTCGCAATACTCCATCTACTTTTTTCACTTCATATTAATGCTTCTACTACGTACGTGGATAATTGCTTATATTTATAATCAAACTCGTGAATTGGTACACTAATCAGAGTATTGCAAGTATATTGAAATGTAGTGAATATAATAACCAGCATAGTTGTAACAAAACCGCATTCACATTTTTACACAATGATAGGTAGTGAGCATCATACCTTGGAGTAGAAGGGCAAAACGTAATGGTATAATCAGCTCCACTGCAAGTGAAAGTACTAGTAGGATCATCATAAGCATAACTATAAGACCTCGGACACGCCAACTTAAACATCTTCGAGTAAACCGTAGGCTTACACGTCGAAGGTGACCCATACGCGCCACTACAACAATACTCGGGACTCTTAAACGCCTCACACGCGCTCTTACACGCGCCACCATTTCCCGCCTTAAGCTCAGTCGGACAAACTTGGTTCAAATCAACTACGCACCCGGTATCGGCGCATTGACCAGATCCGCCACTGACCTCAACCAATATGGGTAAATTATACCCGTCAACTAAGCTGACGTCATAGAAATCTTGACTACCTGTTCCTAAGTTGAACTCGGCTAGGGTTGCCGGAGGTTCGGCGCCGGCGCCTTCGCACTCGACGCCTCCGGAGCCGCAGTCTCCGGTTTCGCAGTAACCTAGACCGGAGTCGGCGAAATTGCAGCCGGTTCGACCCCAGAACCGACCGGACCAACCGGTTGGGGCTTGGAATGACCGGGAAGTGCCGGTTGGGAGTTCGAAACCGGTTGATTCAAGCTTTGGGGTACCTGCATTGGCTAGGATTCCGGGCCATACTGTGTTTTCGCAACTGTTGACGAATGTGAATGTTGTTCCTGAAACTCCTGTCAAATCCAAAGTTTGCAAATTGTTTAAAAGGGAAAAAGTATCGCAATATGTTACATTCGAGTGTATAATGGATACTATCGCAATTTGTTGAATGGGAAAAAGTTAGCATTTTTAGTTCATTTGAAGATAAATAGACTTGAAATAATAAAACTAATTACAGTTAGAACCCTTAGAAGATGAAATGAGGTTAAAGTTAGTATTTTCAGGATGTAAATGGAAAAAAGATGACATTTATAGTTCACTTAAACTGAGAAAATGAAAATTTACCTGTAAGATAAAGTGGTGAGATAGCAACATTGAGAATGAAGAATAACTTGAAGTATTTTAGTGGATCCATGTGTAAATCTTGTAAATTACTCTGTTTCCCCCTGTTTTTCCTCTGTTTTTTTCTCTGTTCAAGAAAGAGAAATGGAGGAAGAAATAGAGTGGGAAAGGGGGGAGTGAGGAAGTGGCTAATTGGGCAGAAAAATGGGGTGTTGAACACCCATAAAACAAACAAAATTACACCTCGAGTAGAGAGAGAGAGAGAGAGAAAGAGGGAGTGTCAGAAGAAGAGAGTAGGGCACACTTAAGAAAATCTAAAATATTTCATCTGCCCCTCACTTTATTCCTTTTAATCAGATTTCTAATTTCATATTAATGTTTGTTTATACGAACTCATAATCATGCTACTTTAGAGCATCTTTATTGGTGAAGCCAAATAAATGGTTCATGGGTCACTATCACCATTTCTCTTTCATCCACATCAACCCAACAAACCATTTACAATATTCACTCTTAACAATGAACACTAAACAATGGTTCATCATCAATACTCCCTACCCCACCTTATTTTATTTTTGTAAATATAATTTTTTTTGTTTCATAATTATAATTTATTAACCCGATGTCAATGTAATTAATTGACGTATTTAATATTATAATCGTGATTACTAATTAAGAAATTATCGCATTTTTTTATCAGCTTTTTAAAAAACTAATTCTTGTGATTAATATTTTTTAAACAACAACGCAGCTAATTTTAATTAACAAAAATAAAAAAAGAGGTACAAATCGTGATTACAGTTCTACAACTATAATCTAAAACATTTTATTTAAAAAAAAAAACAACTACACATCGTTTTGTAAGATGTCCTTAGGGATAACAATTTGTTGTAAACCTAATTGCCTAAGTTTTCGTTGTTACCAAATTTATTCCATATATGTTCGACCAAGTCGTTTTTTAGCTGCAAATGAGTCTGTTGATCCTCAATCTCTGTTCTACGAGACAAGTATAAGCCGATATCCACAATACGATCAGTACGGTACTCGGTAGTGTCCTCATTAGCGTTGCCTCCAGCATTCATAAACTCATTGGTATTAACGTTATTTTGATACGTCTCTCGTTCATCTTCAACGATCATATTATGTATTATGATGCAAGCGAGCATGATATTGTGGAGTATGTCGGTATCCCACGCCAAAGACGGCTTTTTAATAATGGCAAAACGAGCTTGAAGGATCATATTTTGACCCAAATTTTTTTTCTTCTTTCTATTTGTTTTGGGGTTGGTATTAGCATCCATAATTATAATTTATATTTGGAAAAAATAAAAATTTAATAATAATAATAATAACGACAATAATAATAAAAATAATAATAATAACGATAATAATAATAAAGGAAATAATAATAATAACGATAATAATAATAAAAATGATAATAATAACGATAATAATAATAATAATAATAATAATAATAATAATAATAATAATAATAATAATAATAATAATAATAATAATAATTATAGAGGGGATTTTTGAAGAGAAAAATATAGTAGAAAGAAATGGATTTTCAAAGTTGAAGAAAGTATAGCAATATGGGTGTCTATTTATAGAGGGGAAAAAAATAGAGCCGTTGGTAATTTTTTTTTTTTTTTGATTTGTGTTTTGTAAAATATATCCGTTGCAAAATTACAACGGATTTATTTAAAACAGTGACACGTGTCAAGCAGCGGCTGGGCCAAGTGGCGCGCTCCCAGCCGCTGCTTTCTATTTTTTTCCTGAAAAAAAATAAAAATGGGTGGGGCCCACAATCCATAAATTCGTCCAAATGCTTGCAGCAGCAATCAATCCCACAACCATTCACTATGAACAATTATAGAGATCACCATTAAGCCACCCATTCACTTGTTCACTCATTGTGAACTATTTTTTTGTTCACCCTTAAGGCTGCCCTTAATAGTAGAATATAATTAATTAATTAATTAAATTAATAGTTAATACGAAGTACTTGATTTGTAGCATCTGCCAATAAGGTAGGGTTGTATAGTGGCTTTTTTATCTGTCACTGTTCAGATGGGTTGGGTCATTAATTTATTAGTTTAACCTTAACGCACTATCCCAACTCATATGGGCACCTTGTTTAACTGACTACAAGTCATTCTACATAAAGAGTCCATTTGTATTGTGAATTGTAATTTTGTTGTTGGTGACCTAAAATATTTACATGACTCCAAAACATACATCCATACTTGTTGTTTCTTTTCAGGGGGCACATTTACTCATACTTCACAATTTGACCAATGCCTAGATCTATACTTGTTTCTTCGTGTTTTAAAATTAAGAATTCCATAGCAAAATAAGAGTAGACTCTTACTCCATAGCAAAATAAGAGTAGACTCTTGCTCCTTTTTTGTAACACTGGTTTTTGGTGTGCTTGTCTTATATCTTAAGTGACTGTCACATACTTCATATGTCATTGTTCAAGGATGTTAATAATTCCGACACCATTGAGGTGGAAGCTAATAGAGTTACGGAGTATGATAAAGACAATGTTGGAAAGCTTAAAGTTATGTGATTCTATGAGTATATATAGTACATGAGTTAGCAATAGAATACAACTAGATACATTTGAGCATTTGACTAGGTATATTAGCTAAGAGTTAGAGATATTTTTGACTATCAATCTAAGGAGTAAATCAAGGGATTTACATAATCTTAACAATAACTAACAATGATAAATTGATAATCATCATTATCCTTTACAGAAGCCAATTTTTTTGGATTTTGTAGTTAATTGTTGTGAGTACATGTATACGTACAACGCACATTCATGTGCAGGGTAGTTCCAAAACTATCACGCACAACTTCATTAATTACAAGCTTGTTAGGCCTGTATGTAGTGTACAACTTATGGGCCAATGTTATAAAGCCCTAGCCCTAGCACAAAGCATATTGAGGTTGATTGTCATTATGTTAGGGACGCTATTCAGGAAGGGGTTATTAGTCCGTCATATGTGAAGACAACGGATCAACTAACGGATATTTTCACTAAGGCATTGAGTAAAAACCAATTCTTGTATTTACTTGGCAAGTTGGGCATTTGTGATTTGCATGCTCCAACTTGAGGGGGGGGGGGGGGAGGGGAGGGTGTTAGGCCCGTATGTAGTGTACAGCTTATGGGCCAATGTTATAAAGCCCTAGCCCTAATCTCTTTAGGTTGTATATATACACTTGTGCATACTCTAATACGAAACACACAACTCTATTCTCTCTATTCTTGATAAAGTTTGTTTTAACTACTTTATACTTTGTATTAATTGTACCTAATTATGTTCTACTACAATTTCATATAACATGCTCCAACAACTTAAGTAATTTCATATCTAATTTGGTGTTAGAGGCTAGAGGGAGTGGTCCTTGTCCGCGAATAAGTAAAACAAGAGAAGAGAAAGTAGCCATCGTCAGATGGCTGCAGGCTGTTAGCCTACAACTTGCGAAGAGAGCTAGGGAGAATAAAGGGTTAAGGGAGTAGTAATTTAATTTTCTTGGAAGGACACTAGTTTCTTCAAGATTGCAATTTGGATCTTAATAAATCTCTCTATCTCAAGAAGGAAAAAGGTTGTGGTGAGCAAATAACTTTGATTGTAAACCCAACCAATAATATGCACCATTATTCTAAATCCCAAAGTAATTAATCATACTCCGTAGTATTTAAGGAATCAATTATATATGAGCTAATCAATGTCTATGACATGTAGATTTGGATTTGTCATACTATGAGCTAATAATCCTCTTAACTTGTGGATTACTGGGGAGTAGGTCACCGTAATAGGTTTTATCATGTGTATAATGTACTACAATTCGGTCTTTAGTGTGTAAGGTTTGATGATTATAAAATTTCCACCTTCATGATATTGGGAAGTCATCGCGTTTCATGCAATTATATGTGCATTAATAATTATCATTATCTCATATGAGATTAAATTAATACAATCTGGTTTGATTAAGTGGTGCCGAGATATACATGCATGTGACCTCCTCAACTTCGCATGTATAATACTGTCAAATTCTTATTATTGTTTGTCCTCTCACCTCATTTCACGTGAACAAGAACAGCTAGAACAATTTTTATTTGGAATTAGGGCAACAACATCTCTTCTTCTACGTCCAAAGTCCAAAGCTACTAATACTATAATTATAAGCCATAATGCATGTTTCAAGATGATTGCACGTTTTCCAAGACAAATTTTGTTAATGGTTGATTAACAAAGTGAAGGGTGTGTGATTAAGGGTAGGAGAGATAATTAACTAATCAAGGGCCACCACTACCAACTCGCATTGCCGTCCCAGCCAACTCGCACCACTGCACCAGCCAACTCGCACCACCACTAACACCGCATCCTACAATCACTCTCACCACAACCAAGATCTGAAACCCCTCCATAACCAACCTCACCCAACTCGCACCACCACTAACACCGCTACCACCTGAAACCCCACCATCAACAAAATCCCGAAACCCCACCACCAGCGAAATCCTGAAACCCTACCCTGTAGTCACTCTCCTCGCAGCAAATCGAAAGCCACTCCGCGGCAGGAACCCAACCCACCTCACGTACTCACCTTCCCCACCAGCCGCAGTAAATCGAAATCCACCACAAAAACACCAACCCCGTCGTTTTTCTAACATCGCACACCCATTTCTCACTCTCTTTTGTTTCGATATGAGATCCTTAATTGAGAGGAAGAAGAATGCGTCTGGTGGTGGTGGTGGCTGCGGTAAAGAAGATGAACCCTAAATGAAGATGAAGAAGGTGGTGTTTGTGGTTGTAATGGTCCGGTATCAGAGGTGTTTATGGTGGCCTTGGTGTCGGTGGTCTAGTGTCGAAGGTGTTCGCGGTGTTGATAGTCTGGTGCGGTGGTTCTCATGGTGGTCAGTGATGATGGTGGTGGTGGCAGTTGTAGGCAGGGGAGAGAAGGAGTTTTTTTAATTATTAATGTTAAGAAATTTAATTAATTTAAATTAGTAACTAAAATAATGCTATTAGTTCTTAAACATGGAGTATTATAGTAATTTCATTTTAAAAACTTACTAATAAAGGAAAAAAAAAAGTTTGTTGCACATAATGTGAATTTTCCTTTTTGGCAAATGTTGCACATAACTTGAAACGGAGGAAGTATATAGCTAGGAAGCTACATCATCAAAACTTAGAGAAAATTTTGGCTTATGTGCTTATCCACCAAGTAAATATCAAAAGCATTAATCATATGAATATTTTTCATAGTGAGTTATCTACCTAGCTAGGCTAATTAATGGGTAGATGTAGCAAATATCCAATTCAACCTAGCAAATATGAAATATGCATAGAGAGTAGTACATTGTTTGAATACTAAGGCATAATGTTGGGCATGATCTCAAATAACACAATATTAAGTCTTCAAAATTCCAACCTTTTTTTATATTTGTTTTTATTTTATTTCTTAACACGTCTTAAATCTTGTATTTAGCATGACACTTACTTCCTCTATTTTTTTTATAGTTGCAATAGTTTGACTTTTACACTGTTTATGTGTTCCACTTTGATTAGCTTTATGATTTATAGTTATGCAAAAATATAGTCATGTGAGATATTGTTAGGTTCGTTTTGATTAATATTACTTTAATATCAAATGTTTATAATTTTTACATATTGGTAATTAAAGATATTAACGATTGAAATCATACATCAGCAAGCGTGAAAAGAAAAGTGTTGCAACTATAGAGAAACAGAGGAGGTATATTATAATGACTCAAACTATTACTCATATGTAATACAAGTAAATTAAAATTTGACTATCAATTATTAGTTCATTAATTAGTAGGTGCGACATGAAATATAAAATTATGTTTTAAGATCGAAATTGTAGAGAATGAATCCTAGAACTGTTTAGGTTTTGTTTAACCAGGTGATTAGGAATACTCTGTACTTAAAAAAGTGAAGAAGAGAACTTGGTAGATGACAAGATCCCGAAGAGTGGATCAGACCGTTGCTATGCGCGATTTGCTAAAAAAAATTGTGAATATTTGACCGTTTGTCTGACTTTTTTCACATTTCTGGGGCTTATTATATCAACTCATCAATATAGTGTCAACTCTGTCAAGTGTCAATTATTATTCTAGAAAACGGAATTCCAGCATGACAAGAAGTATCAATGTATCATGTATATATAGTTAGTATATACGAGTACTTCATATATAAAATATTAAAATATTACTCCGTACTATCCTATCGTTAATGCATAGTTACAAATATAAACAATTACGGAGTAGTGAATTTGGAAGCGCATCATGCTTTGTGATGTAAATACCCCATGTATGTAGCTCTATGCGCCATAAAAAGTGGAGTGGTAGTTAAGCTTGTTCAATGTGATGTATTCCCCTCTTTTCCCAAATATGAGGTGATGTATTTGAAAGACATTGAGCTAGTATTTCATATCTCTCGCCTACAACTCTTATTGAAACAAAAAAAAAATAATAAAAAATAAAATAAAATAAATAAATAAATAAATAAAAAAAATAAAGACTTTGACCTTGCCACTATTTCATATCTCTCGCCTACAACTCTTATTGAAACAATTGAAGGCGGGAGAAAAGCTAACTACGGAGTATAATGTGTTACACAGAGGGAGTATTTTTAGAAAGTCGGCCCTAAAAGAATATGGATTATTGATTACTACAGTATATAGTAAAGCATCAGTCTCAAAATGCTTTCATTTTATGGAGAAAGTTAATTATTGTGATATTTTCAAACAACAATCTCCGCAATTTAAACCCAAATTTACACAGATAGTTCAATTTACAACTTATATTTTAAAATGCAGGCTGCCTAATATAGTACGTATATATGATTGATTAGCTACATATGCATGGGAAATGACATAATCATATATTGTAAAAAATGCTTTTGCATGTGATCGAATTTCTCAAAATCCATATCTAGAAGTGGAGAAAAATTAAAGATCATTTCAAGAATATTTTGATAAACTCATTAAATAAGAATATTTTAATCATATCATAGACTTAATTAGTAAAGTATGTAGCTAAATATCTTTCTGCAACACTTTAGAAGGAGGACCAAACAAAATTTAATACCAAAACTTTGATCAACAAAGAAGTTCAGCTTTTCCAGAGATAAAGGAAAGAGATAAAGATGTTGGTACAACGTACTCTTTGATCGACAGATTCCCTCTCGCATTGAGGCAATGCTAATTTTTGCAATGCAGCATGAATGTCAAACATTAATTTAGGAAAAGTAGTATGTTAAATTATTTTGCAACTTATGCGTTAATCATCTAAGCTAGAAAATAGAATTAATCACAGATTCACAGAGTACATGATTTATATATACGGGAAATAGTATATTGTTTCCTTCATAAATTTCATACAACGAACCTAGTTTCAGCTCGTACAAAACTTAACCTTGATGGTTGAGGCTCAGGAATATGTTTAACACCCTGAGATTCGAACCCATGACCTTTGTGTCACGCTGACTCTAATACCATGTTAAATGACCAACTCAACCAAAAGCTTAAGCTGATGATTGAAGCCCAAGAACATGTTTTATACTATATCACATGTTACTATCACATTCATTTATTAGAGAATACACATAAATGTTCAAATAGACTGTTAACTTAAAAAAAAAAAAACCGCAAAATTCAGCATACTCGATCTATTATATATCGGAGTACTACTTAATTTTACCTTTATGCAAAGGGTGTATAAAGTTAAGCTAATAATTTAGTAACTACTGTGTAATTGTACAATAGTGTTGCATGCATGATGGTAAATTTAAAAGTAAAGATTGACCAATAATAATGGTGGAGCTAGGGTGTCCCATGCGGGATTCCAAATGTGTGGAATGCAGAATGCTTGACGATGAACTCAAGCACACTAAACCTGTAACGTACAGGAACCTATCTTCAACAACTTTTTGGTGAAACAAGTCATATTGTGCGGCCTGATGCTAACTCAGCAAATATATGACGGACGTGTATAACGGAGTCTGACACTCACGCACAATTTTAATTAACCCCTAATTTCAAGTAATTCATATTATAAATAACCCCTAATTTCAAGTAACCCATAATTTTAAACAGTGACCCCTAATTCTAAGTAGTGACCCCTAATTTCAAGTAACCCATATTATAAGTAACCCCTAATACTCAGAACATAAGACAAAAACAAGTAACCCATATTATAAGTAATCTCTAATTTTGATTTATTATTATTTATTATAAGTAACCCCTTTTCTTCATCTTCTTCTTTAATAGATCTCCTTCGAAGCTACTTCAATAGCGCCGAAGAAGACGACGACGATGACGACGAACAACCCCAACTACACCAAATCAACAACCTCGTTTATATGCTTTTGTTGCGGAATTGCTTGAGAATTTTGCCAAAAATCATACGTAAAAACCCCAAAAATCGATTTGGGGGTTTTCAAATTACTTGCTCTTTGTGTAAATTTCTTGCACGAATTTGTTTGTATGTTGTACAAATCATTTTCATGAAAGGTAGGAGAGAGTATGTTAGAGATATAAGATATCGGAAAATATATGTGTGATATATTTTCCGTAGATATCATTAAGAGATAATATATTTAGATTTATTTATGTTAAGAAATTATTTTAGAGAATATATCTTTAGGATTTATGATTATGGTAGTATATCTTTTAGGAATATTGTTTTTTATCTTATGAGTTTAGGTTTTGTATAAATACTCTACCTATTGATGAATAATAAACAAGCTATTTTATTCTCTCTTCACCCTAATTTGTCAGAGTAATCATCCTCATAGAAGGTAGGAGAGAGAAAAGCATGAGTAGGGGAATACAATGCGGAGTGAGAAGTGGGAAAAAAATGGCTTTAAATGGGGGTCCGTTATTTTTGGCTTTACGATAATGGAAAACGAGGTTAGAAATGGGGGTCCGTTATTTTTTTAAGCATGCCGCATGGTACAGCAAGCCGCATACAAAAAATTGTGATTGACAGCATATCCTAACAAATACCACATGTACGTGTCCCACATTATTATAAGAAGAGAGAGTTAAACACTTAATAAGGCTAAGGGGCTACTCTTCATATTGCCATATGATTTTGGGATGAAACCTCCTTAGATCTTGTGAAGTGGACTCTCTCTATCAATTGCATAACAAAAAAAAAGGAGGAAAGAAAAATTAACTTTAGGAGATCCTTATTCCTTCCCCACGTGAACATGCATACATGTTGGATTTAGTTAGTTCTTGATTGTTCACGCATTATGGTTAAAGAACACACCACTAGAACCAATAATGAAATGCAATAGTTAAGGAATAACTTTCGTTTTGACGTCATGTATATATTTTTAACTTTCTTGATGTCTATGTTGCATTTGCATATATCCATTGCTAGTTGTATCAATAAAAGTTACAGGTTATGAATTAAATTTTTGTTAGTATCATGCCCCTATAAATGAATTTCTTTCTACAATCTTAGAGCATCATAAATTCGTAATGTAAATTTTCCACTCCATAACTTATATAGTTAACCTTTTTCTCTCTTGCTTTAACTACCATTATTTGGATTTAGAGCAAATAAATTAAGACAGACGAAGTAGCTATACGCCTATACAGAGTAAGTAGCTGTACAGAGTACTCCATAGGTTTTAAATTAGGGATCTCAATTTCATTTTCCTCCATTTGTTTTCAATTTCAAGTAATTTGTTAACCATTAAACAAATAAAGAAAAAAATTGTCTTGGAGGAAGCTGTAGATTTTTTTTTTTTTTTTTTTTTTGAGACCCACTTTGTTGAAATAGCAGTATTGCTTTTGGTAAATCTTAAAGACCAGCCTTTTGCGCATTAAATCATGTTATTTTATGGGCATCTTTTCCTCAAAGTAGGGTCTCATTATCCTTCTTTCTACATTTGGGGCCACTTTATTCTTGCTTCTTCTCCATATTGGGGCCATATGTTCTTTATCTACTAGTATTCTTTCCTATTTACCTTGTTAAACTACCCCTAATGGCTTTGGTTACAACTCTTACAGGTTACATTTGGGCCATTGGCTTCACTCCCACTCAATTTGGGCCAGGCCGGCTATAGACTGAGAAAAACAGAGTTAAATTTTCATTTTAACTGTTCCAATGCTACCATGAATATATATTTTTTTGCTCTAAGTAGAAAGAAGGGGCTGTTTCGATTGAATATCAGGAGTGTACTTAATAGTCCATATAAATGGAAGCCGCAATCACTGGCTCATAGCAAATCAACCAGATGAGAACATGTTCTAAGCATACAACTAGCTACAAATCACAGCTCAATTATTCGACTTTAAGTCATAACCAAATAGTTTATCTGGAAGTAAAGCATCAAGTTATCTGGCCACAAAATTCAACTTGTAATAAGATTTGTGTAGTACAAACACAAGCTTTGACAGCATTTAAGATCAGCTGGGGATGAACCCCAACAGTAAAAGTTCTTCGAGGAATGGATATCTTTGCTGACATTGTTGAGTACAACATAGAATTACATTCTGTCAAAAACTAAAATATGCTCCTTAAATGAGCCGCTTATGGCAAGGGGGAAAAATGATATATACAGTTTGATTTGAGCAATATTTCAGATTATACATGACATTGAATTGTTCGTCTTTTCCCAGCATGTTTGAGCCAGGATTTCGGAGAAGAGGGCTTTGAAGGAAGATGGTAAAAGGTGAAAGGAAATGGGTAAAATAATGGGGTCGAAGACGCCCACTTCTCTTCACTACCGGCCTGGAAAAATCCCATCAATGTTAGTAAACAAGAATGAGATCCCAGAAAACAAAACGTAAAACTACTATCAAGGTACCAACAATAAGTAGAGGAATAGTCAGACCTGAGGATACTTTGCTGCCTCTTGAATGCAAGTACATCATTGTTTTGTTCACCAATGGTAGTTCACCTGCCATTACTCTTCGTTTACCCAGCAATTTCAAGCTACAAAAATTAGTCACAGTTTTATTGTGAGAAGCAGCCATTACAAAATGCATCAGAGCTTCACAGATATACTTCGTTGGGGGGGGAAGTACAGTTAGCATGCAATCACAATTAGTTAAAAAATTTCCACAGCTGTGCATAGTTTAACTAATGAACTACCCTAACTGCAGTGTAACAATCTAGATGAATTGGTATGTGCATCATACAGTAAGAAGATTGAAAAGGCAGAAGTAAATTTAGTGGAATATGAAGGGGGAAAAATCATTTGTAACATATTAGAGTTGGCTAAGATGAACTGTTTCCCGAACAAACAAAGATAATTTAAGAGTGACAATAGGGAAGATCAAAGTGGTCACCAGATTCATTAAGTTGTATAAAAAAGTCACATTCCTAAGGTCTCAAAGGTGGATCAATTAATTAAAAGGCTAATCAACCACTTCACACATTAAACTTCAGCATTCTCTGAGCAGTATAGTGCCAAATTAAATCCAGAATTTAACCGATGAATATCCAGATTAGATGACACGTACAGTATGCAGACCAGGGGAAACTATTTGAAGTGAATGCAAGATGAAATAAGTAAATAGTATTAGAGAAAAGTACTCCAGTTTAAAAGTTTCACTAGAAAAAGGACAAGCCGCACATCTACACATACTACAAGCTAAAGCCTTTTCACAAGTCATAATTCGAACACAAAATTTACAGATATCAGCCTATCATATCTTTGAATATTACTCCCTCCGTCCCATGATATTTTTCACAGTTGGAATTAGAAAGGAGATTCAGAAAGATTGTCAAGTGTTAAAGCTCCATGGTAATATGACCAAGCTGTCAATGTACACATTAAAATCCCCTGATCAAGACAGGAAATTTCCACTGATTGCTTGACCTTGGGCATATAATCTGTATACCAATCATAAGAATTAGAGTGGATTGTAGCAGATATATCTATAAGTATGATGAGCCCTCTTTCTACTTGAAGAAATGACCTATTACTTCCCATCCTGTTTCTGCCCATACCAGCTATTAAAAATTAGATTAATTTTGTAGAGAATATTCAGCATTACTTTATGGCTGATGACTCAGGGAAGATATTGCCATCGCTAGTTAAGCATAACAATGGGGACTAAGTTTTTAGTTTTTTCACCATTTGGGACCTCAGTCTTTTTTTTCCACCTTTTGGGACCTCTAGTTAACAATCCGGCAAACTAACCCTTGTTTAACTCACCGGAGCAAAAACTTAGTCCCTTCATTGAATTTCATGTAAAAAAAACAGTCCCTTCATTAAATAAATGTCAATTCCAAAAAGATAGGTCCTTCAAATTCTTATCTCCTAAAAAATAACTGAAGGAAATTTAAGTACAATTTTTTAAACTGTTATTTATCCAAATACTGAAGGATTTTTATTTTTTTTATTTTTTTTATTTTTTGTGTACCGTATTTATTTATTAAAAATAAAATTACCAAGAAATATGGGGCCGGAGTTATATTTGCTTGGTAATTGAAAAGATAATTAAGTATCGTTGTTGTATCGAATCTATTATATAATTTAAGAGTCGGTTTTAACGAGAATGCTCAAAATCCCCATTTCTCCAACTTAAATCCTATCAAATTTAAATTTAATAAAAATGAAATACGTTTATAAATTAATTTTTAACCCAAGCTAGTATGAAAAAAAATATTTATAAAGCAAATTTTATTTTTGGTTAAACGTTTATAAATTTATTTTTAAAAAATCAACCCAATTAATTTTTTAGAACCTCTTCACATCCACTGCATATCACTCTTGTAATAAGGGATAGAAAGATAATTACCATATTGAATGGTACATACATGCATAATAAACTTGGTGAGCAAGGCTTTCAATTAGTCATTTCTGGCTAATTACCGCTCTAAAAAAATATTAACGCTCTAAACATGGTGCATGTGAGAGATTTTTAAACAATTTTGAGTTTTCTGTTTTATTATTATTATTATTATTATTTGGAGGAAATTATTTTGTGCACGTATAAATTAATACTCTAAATAAATTTGAGTATTTAATTTTAGCCTTAGTTTTTACAATATTGATAGATCTATTATTCTATAATATTTGTGGTATTCTTAGCCTCACTTTTAGGGGACTATCTTTTTTCTATATAGGGGACTATCTTTTTTCTATACGGGGGACTATCATTTTAGGTTCACTTTATAGGGGACTATCTTTTTAACTCACCCACAATTGATATTTTGCCGGAAAAGTCACTTGAGGTCCCAAAAGGTGAAAAAATAAAAGTGAGGTCCCAAAAGGTGACAAAAAGTAAAAAGATAATCCCCATCTTTATACTTAACTCGTTTCTAGGGGTCATAGAATTCTAAAAGATGAGCAATCAAAGGATACTTTCATATGTTTGAAATTGAAATCAGCTTCCTTTGCTCTAATGCATGAAGGATTGTTATCATATTAATTTCAACTACACCTTCTCCTCGTGTGTTTCAACAGGAGATGCATATAGCAGGGGTTAGGAAAATACTATCCTTGACAGTTTGGAAGTGTCAAGATAAAGAAAGGGCTTTGAATGTTTTTATCAAAGCCTCAGTAAAAGCAAACAATGCATAAATTTTATTTTTTAAGGTCTCTTAGGTGAGATTGATTCTGTTCTTTCTGCTGTAAGATCAAATATGTTCATCTGCATCCCTTTCAGAAGCTGTTAGTTTTAGCATCCAGTTTAATACCTTAATACCTATATCCTAAAGTATGTTGGAGAGACTACTTTAGAGCTTTTTAGGAGCAATAGTGCAATAGTAGTACTCTATTGCATCCCTCTCATCTGATAAAAAAGAATAAGACCATTTTTCTAGAAATTTGAATAACCTGCTAAGCATAAGAGCAATACTATCACTTAAGGTAGGAATTTTATGAAGACTATTAAAAGTGGTGAATTATCTCAGGTTAAACCAATAGGAACAATTACAGAGCACTAAGAATTCAGCTTCAATAAAAGTTTGCCTTAAGAAGGCAGTGACAAAAACTTGCATATATTAACTAACGAGATAAAGTAAGAGAGACCAGATCCTCAATGGAAGGGCTTAGTGCCCAGAACTAATGATCAAAATAATATTTCAGCAAGGTTCTTTCATTAGTACAATGGGATTAAGGCTTTGATTGATTGATTAATTGATTGTTCTTTCATTAGTACAGGCTCCATTTGACATTGGCAGTCATGCAGCTCTCACCGACTTACTTTCAACTATTCAATAACAATCTTTTGCCATTCAGCCACAATCCGTTAGGCTAGCAATAGCTTCATTTAGGGCTCTACTACTTTTCCTCCTTTAGTTTACCGACTCAATATTCTTATCTGTATCTCGTTAATGAACCAAAAGCTCATCCATCATAAGGTTACAAGTTATAATAACAAATGGGGGCTTCACTAAAAGCATCTAAACCTTGTTAGAAGTTCATTTTCGAACATTCTCTCCTCTTAACATGTTAATGTTATTACCTTGCCGCCATTTACACCAACTTACTTCTTCGTAATACAAGTTACATGTCCTAACTCCGGTTAACACCAAGGATCCACTTGACTTGGGACTAGCCCTATATTATCACCCACGACTCAACAAGACGTCTATGTTGTTGTCCAGGCAACAAGGGTTTGATTCTCGTTGGAAAGGTTATGTACTTATAGGCAGATTGCATTCTAGGGCCCTGTAGGAAGCACTAGACATATAAGCCACATCATACTTCGTACTAAAGTCCACATTGATATGCCAACTCACAAATCTGGTTAAGCAAACCCAAGTGGACTGCCACATAACTTACTAACTATCCTAAACTGACCCAACAAGCAACCACATGAATTATTAGCACATTTTCAATTATTAATATATTTTTGTCCATTATTATTGTCATCAATTTAAATCAATTACAAGCAGCTCACATCAACTTAATAATTCATTACCCCTGATTTTTTTTAATAACACACATCAAACCAACTGAACGAACCAATCGCAATTCGCAAGTGTCACCTAGTCAACTACACGGAGTAACTTATTTAGTTGGTTAAAGTTTTGTTGACGACTTAAGATCAGATAAAGTAAAAAGCTTAACACCTAAGCTAAACCAATAATACATGAACAACAAGAATTTCAAAAGCAAAAGCAAGAAAAGAAAACCTAATTACCTTGTGTAAGGAGGCGGGCAAAAGACGATAATATAATCAGCATTTCCGCAAGTGAAAGTACTCGTCTTATCATCATACGCGTAGCTATACGCGCGTGGGCAAGCCTCCTTGAAAAACACCGAGTACACCGACGGCGGACACGTGTCAGGCGTATTATAACTTTCACTACAACAATACCGTGGGTCCCCAAACGCCTCACACGCGCTCTTACATGCGACGGCAGTTTTCGACCTCACTTTCACACTCCCATTCCCACGCGCCGCCGCAACACTAAGCTCTCTAGGACACGCGCGGTTAATATCGACGAGACATCCGGTGGGGCTACAGTCGCCGCCGCGGCCTCCACGTGGCACGACGAGGATAGGAAGATTGTAACCGTCGACGAGGCTGACGTCATAGAAGTCAAGCCCACCAGCGCCGTTGAGGGTGAACTCAGCTAAGGTTGCCGGAGGGATTGCGCCGGCGCCGGAGCATTCGAGTTTACCGGAGGCGCAGTCTCCGGTAAGGCAGACCAGTTTTCCGGCAGAGGGGTCGCCGGAGCAGAGGGTTCGGGCCCAAAGTCGGCCCGACCAGGATCTTGGGAAATGGAAAGTGCGGGATTTTCCGGCGGAGAGAGAGAACCCGGTGGTCGGAAGAGGAGGGGAATTTGCACCGGAGAGTAAGCCCGGCCATACTGTGTGTCTGCACTTGTTTACTAGTCGGAATTTTGCGGCGTAAATTGTTTGGGAGGAGAGAGAAAGGACGAAGATGAAGAAGAAGACGAAGATGTTAGCCATTGAAAGAAGGGAATGAGATAGTTTGCCGGGAAAATACAAAGGGGGATTTTGTAAAAAAAGAATGATGAAGAATTAAAGCTAGTTTTCCACTTCACTAATGTTTATTTCTGGTTTGTTCTTTTGATTAATTGCTTTTGGGTTCTTGAATCTTTTACCTGTTTCTTCTTTCTTTAGCTTTAATTTCCTTTTTTATCATCTTTTCTTTAATCAGGTTTATGTGAGGGTTTGTTGGTTTGATCGTGGTTTAGAAGTCGCTTTAGCACACGTAAATTCTTCTATCAGACGGTCAAGAATGAAGTAATAATTGCAGTAAGATGAAATTTTTTTACTGAATTTTGTAGAACTTGGTAACCACACTCACTACACTAGTCAACAGAAGTCCAAGGCCTTTCCAAAGCAAGATTCACACTATGTTATTTTTAAGGACTTTTTGTGAAAAACTACTTTATGTATTTCAGTTTTTGTGAAAAACTACCTTATTAAAAAAATATTGTAAAACACAACCTTATAAACATTTTATGTTGTATAAAATCCACTTTATAAAATGCTTAATGTTGTAAGAAGCTACATTTTCGCCGGATTATTGCATTGAATAAGAGATGTTAAATGCCCCATTTTCAATTATTTTTTCTCCTTTTTCCACCCAATTTCTCCATAGCCCCCTTCATAACCCCTAGTTTCCCTTCTCTTTCATTGTTAAATTAAGCACATGGTAGCAACTTACAACATTTAGTTTCTATAAGTTAGTTTCTTACAACAATTTTTTTATAAGGTAGTTTTTCACAAAATTTGATGTATATAAGGTAGTTTTTCACAAAAAATCCTATTTTTAAATCATGTGATTGATTTTTACGGTTGAAAAGCCATTGAAGTGGTCCATTATACTATAGCAAAATTAAGTTTAACTTGATTAACTTATTCTCCTTTTGGCTATTCCCTTCAAACTTTTTAAATTTTTTGGAAAGGTTTTATCGAGGATTTGAGAGAGGTTATAAATTCACATTTGAATATGTACTGACATACGAGTAATTGAGTACTCAATAAATAGAGTGAGGGTCAATTTATATATTCAACATTGAATATAAAAGTTAATCTTAGAATATCATCATATAACTGCAAAATAAATCCAACCAAAATTTCTAATTGAAGGTTGGATGGTGATAACATTTAAAGGGTTAGTGAGGCATCTACGAGTCAAATGCAGTTGGTTAGTCATTAGAGATTCCAATGAAATCTAAAGCAATTGGATAGAAGAGTAGGAGCGCTTTAGACTTATAAAACTTAGAGATATACATTAATAGACTTGAACACATACTCCATAGTGTATATAGCTAGGAGCAGTGGCGGAACTAGAATTTTTAAGTGAGGGGGACCAAGATCATATCTATGTATGTGTAATTTCGCAACTATTATTGAGTTTGTTGATTACATTTACTATAAAAAAATAAATACAAGAATTAAACTCTTGACATCTTGTCCACTATCACAGGGCAAAAACCAACTCCTCTACACTAAAACTTATAACAAGTATAAGAAAAATTTAAATTTTACCTTGAGCCAAGGGAAGGCCATGGCCCACCCCAGCCCCTCCTTGGCTCCGCCCTTGGCTAGGAGGGAGAGAAAATGAAGCCTAACATATTAAAGTTCATGTATATGTGTTTTTTTCTAAAAACAAAAGGTGGTAAAAAAATAAATATTAAAAAAACTTCTTCATGAAGGGAATTTTTAATGTATCGTAAAAAAGAACAATAACAAAAGTAAAGTTATTACAAACATATTTCGCGATTTTCAGATGACCTGTTGCACAATTTTATTCTCTATAGATATGATGAATGGTAATCCACATGTACAAGCATCATTAGAGAAATTGATTTTGGCACCCCAAAAATTGATTCTGCCACACCTTTTTGTGAGTAAAGTATATAAACTTGTACTTTCATAATGAGTGTGCCAAAATCATTTTCCTATAATCATATGGATAGAAGATAGTGGTCTTTAATTAAACCATGTTTCATAGCAAGAGAAATTAAGTTTATAATGAATTCATTTTTCATTTATCGTATTTGTATCCCTCTATACAAGATTGGTGTTGTTTTTGTAAAGACTAATCATTTTAGAAAATAAAGCCAATATTCCTAAGAATTGTACTTCATGTATCAAATGCATGTTCCTTAGCCCTCCTCCTCCTTATAGAACAAAAGAATTTATGTAATCAACTTTGATTAGTTTTGATTATACAAGCTGTTGGGCTAGAAGCCTAGAAGTATGCAAATTGTAAGCAGTACAACAACAGAACAGAAGAATATGCAAATTTGCCACCAACTTTGATCACATAGCTGTTGGGCTAGAAGCTTTTGATTGGCCGAAAATAAATGGGCCAGTAATAGGATCTTAGAACTGGGTCACAGAAGGCCTGGTCTCTGAATGTGCAAAAAGTCAGGCCCATATCAGTATAACAGATCCACCTCCAAAGTCCAAATGGAAGGAGCCAAAATATTAAAGTAGAACTAAAAAATGGGGGCGTTCCGAGAATCGAACTCGGGACCTCTTGCACCCAAAGCAAGAATCATACCACTAGACCAAACGCCCACTGATATGAATTTTGTGGAAAACAAAATATAGTATTAATTATCAATCATTTTTTTTACGAAAATTATTCATTTCATATTTTTTTCTTTTTCTTGGATTCTGCCTTTTTTTATTTTTTATTTTTTTTTGACAAGAGTGACTAATAACGAGAACAACAACTACTCAAAATGACCAAAATAAAAGCCCACGCCATCGAGCTTTCCCAGCCAACCAATGCACAGGAGTCACCCAGCCAAGAGGGACCTTAGTAACCCTGTAGGCAGAAAAATTTAAAAGAGTACGCCTATTTTGATATTTATTTTAGTGGAATTTCAATATAAACTTGACTAACAATTTATTTTCCTGTTTTTTTTTTTTTATTTTAAGAAAAAAATGTACTAAAATTTTTGCAAATTGTTAAGTTCACATGTAATATAAGACTGAGGACAAGCATTTGATTAAAATTAAGAGCACAAACATGAAACATGGAATGAAGCCCATAGAAAAAGGGTAAACATGATGGTGTGTTCATAGCCTTAAAAATTGACTTTTTATTATCCATACATACTCACAATAAATAATAATGCTGCCACCATCAATTGTAAACACAGGTATGCTAATCGAGCTGACCACCAATCAATGCATAAGTAACGAGTGATCAGAACAAGCAAAAAGTGTTAACGAATAGATTACAACAATAAAGATTTCGAAAATTGGCGACCCACATTTTTAGTAACTTCATCATCATCTTTAAGTCAAATGTTTCTTCATGTTGTTTGCTCTAAAGCAAAAGTTTATCTTTGATCTCAATCATTATTAGAACAATTATGTTTCACACTATATCTAGAACCAAAACTTTTGTTCTTAAAAAGTTGTTTGAACAAGGTAAACTGTGGCAAACGATCGACTTGGTGTATGTATTTCATTTTAGGTCTTATTTGAGTGATTAGTCATTATGTTTAAGACTACTCAAGTCACATTTGGGGTTGGGATGATTGTCAATCACCTTCTTGTGATAAATGATTAGTAATGGTCACGTTAATATATATTGGCTTAGGGCATACGATTCAGGTACACCAATTTAAGCTTTGTTCTTCTTCAACTTATTATAATATTTCGTATATATATGACATATTCTTGTAAATATAAGAGTAGATTAGAGATCAAATTATAAAGATATATTTCATATAACTACTAAAATCAAACTAGAAAGATCCAGAGCACACCAAACCTAAAATAAAAAAATAATCTCAAAACACTTTAAATAAGGCGAAGAGAAAATAGTCTAGTTTTATAGTGGCCTGGGTAATGGAGCTTTATTTGGATAGCTTGAGAGGCATAATTGTAACATCTTATCAATACTCAATTAAGTAAATATCCGAGTGGACTATTAGTCAGCACACCTTCAATCCATCATCATAGCCTATTGATCAAATTATATATCAAAGGCTTATAACTGTTATAAGTTGCTTGTTACCCTTTATTTATATGTCCTAGCATGTATGATAGATGTGTTGGTTGCTCATCATGATCAACTTTAGCGTGATACACACCAACATGTTTTTTTTTCAATAGATTTGCGAGCAACTTAACTATGGTGTGGACGCCTCCATGGCATGCTTATTTTTCAGAGCAGCAAAACATAATAAACATTGCTTGTCGATTTATTTCATCATATCATATATTATGAACTAAGTATGTAAACTTTTGTGCATCCAAGGAAATTCAGTGGGTCAGAGTTAAATACCTTCAACATAAATTTACTCAAAATACGTCAGATAAAGTAACTTAGGCAATCAAGTTATACTAATAACAGTGTATTAAAATTAATCATAGAATTTTAATGCACTATTCATAAGATTAATCTTTTGATTGATTTGGTCATTTGACAGATATATAATAAAAAAACCATGACTGTTAATTCAAAATTATATACTCAGTATAATTTAATGTGTGTGCATTTTTACTTCATATAATCTCGACCATGCATATAAAAACATTAGAAAACTAAACCATCAAATAACTCGATTGTCTCAATAGGATCCAATCTTTAATATCTTTACTTCGGAAACCATGTTCAAATAATTTGAATCACTTGTAACATACTCCCTACTCGATTGAGAATTGAGGGTATCACACAATTCGAAGTGCGTGGAAGCCCATATAATCTGATGATACAATCAGCTAATGTAGCAGGACTGAGCATGCAGTGGGCACTGCTAAGCAAGACATTATAGTCTGAAATATCAGAGAATGTTAAGCTAAAAGTAATGTGTTAAAATCATACAGTATGTGACTAATTTATAACAGTTTAACACTGTAACAGAATATAAATGTACAGACCTGTCATTCATGCGCACACAATATATCCGTGATATGCAAATTAACTAGCATTAGGGTTAGCCCGATATTTCATGAAATGGCAGGTTAAATGATTAATTTTATAGTGGGTAATTTCAATCAAAGGTATTTTCTTGAAAATGGGTATACTTTTTAAGTTTCACCACAAATTATTCAATGAGTGGACTCTTTTAATTATATTAGGTGTTTATGCTGCAAAATTGCTAATAATTGTATTTGTATAATTGTCATTTGTCACATGTTCATCTACATTAATTGATCTTGTATTCTTGTGTCACATGACTCACATTCTATATATTGTATTGTGAACGAAGAAAATCTAGTCTAAACACCATCCAAATTCACAATTCGATAACTCATTTTGTTGGAACGAAGTAGAATTGAAGCTAAAAACATAGAAACTCAATACATCTAAGTCCATCTTTCGATATCAAAATAAAAGTAATACCTAAAGCATGTTAAAAACACCTAATATGGTATCCACAAGACCCCAACACAAAAGCCA